TTTCTACTCCCGTAAAGATTTACACCCTCGGAAACCCTGTACAGGGTCGCTATGGGTCGGAACTGACTCGACGGCACTTAACAACAACAACATATCACATTAAGGAGGTTCCCAAGCTACATGGGGAATAGGTTGATAAAGGTCAAAAGAATAGCATTGTCTTTTATAACTAGTGTGTTGAGATGACTACATTATACAAGATGGGACAGAGCGATGACGTAATATTCCCATTACGTACATCCCTAATTCTTTCCAGCCATAAAGAAATCTATAAAAGAGATACTGGAGGAAACAACCAGAAAAGAAGTATACACGGATAAAGGAAATAAACTACAGATTATTTGGAAAACAAGAAATAAAAATACGAAAAATAACAAAACCACAGGTTACACACACACACACACAAAGCCAGGCTTAGGAAAACCAGACACCACTGATCTGTCAGTCAGTTGTACTGTGATGCACTGTGTGCTGATGGGATACTGGCAGCTATACCACCACTTCTGTTGCAAATGCTCACATGGTAGACAGGATTCTGCAGAGCTTCCAGGGTAAGATAGACTCAGATGAAGAACTTGTTGATCTTCTTAAAAAATGGCCAGCAAAAATGTTATGAATAGTAGTGGATACAGTCTGCTATAGAGACAGAGGAAGAGGATCTCAGGTTGGAAGGAACACAAAATGCACACAGCAAAAGAGCTGCCTCCTCAAAGCATAGTTGACAGTAAAGACATGGATGGAATAAAACTTTCAGGACATACATTTGCTGAGGTGGCACCATACAACATGAGAAGAAACCTCTATAAACATCCATCAATAATTGGAAAGTGGAATAAACATAAAATGATTTGAAGAAAATTGGAAGTTGTAAAAAATGAAATGGAATTCATAAAGATTGATATGCTGGTCACTGGCAGACTGAAAAAGACTGGTATTGACCATTTTGAACGGAACCATCAATCATTTGATACACTGTTCTGGAAGGACAAATTGAAAGAGAATGGTGTTACTTCACCACAAAGAGGAGTATTTCAAGACTAATCCTGAACAGCCAATTCACAATAAACAGTTAAAAAAAAATAACAATAATTTCATCCTGAAGTATAATTTTGTCAATAACAGTATGGTACTATTCATACCCCTATAAGGAAGAATATCCATTAGGAATCAAAACACAAAATACAGAAAATATGAATCTAGGAAAATTGGAAGTGTCAAAAATGAAAAGAAAAGCATAAAGATTGTAATTCATTAGTGAGCTGAAATGGACTGGCAATGGACATTTTTAATCTAACAATCATATGTCACAAGTTGAAAAGGAAGGGCGTCACATTCATCATCAAAAGAACATTTCATGATCTATCTTGAAGCATAATGCTCTCTGTGATAGGATAATATGCATATGCCTACAAGGAAGACCAATTAATACCACTATTATTCAAATTTACCCACCAACCGCTAA